ATTTACAGCTTCACATCCAAAAAAAAAATTCCAGAGGGAAGCAATTGGATGGGAGACACAGAGCAAATGTCCTTCCACTCCGGATTTGCCAGGGCCACTGGGGAAGGATTCTTACAGGATTACAGAGTCAGCAGTGTGTCCAGGACTCAGAGCTGGAAGAGATGAGAAAGTGAACTCTTTCAAAGGTCTCTCTAGGTCCAGAGGGATGCTGCTTTTTCTCTGAAAGTCCTGCTGGCATGCTAGATTAGCTAGGTCAGAGCCGCAGCAGGAGGGTGGCCAAGTGACCTCTGAGTAGCGGAGATAGGAAGCTCCAGTGGGAAGCACGGCGGAAGGCAGAGTTAGTGCCTGGACATTAATGGGTGTCCAGAAATAACAAGGAATCTTAAAACAATAAACATATAGTTGGGTTGTAGGCTAGACATTGTAGAAACAGAAGGGATCTGCTGTGGAAGCTGTCTGATACTGGACAGATCTGCCCTTTGATGGGAAAAGCGTCAGTGGCCTGGCCCGAACCAAGAACTGCAGGACTGACAACAGAGTTGAAGGCAAAGGGTGAGGGCAGAGGAGGACCTTTTCTTCTCTGCACCAACACTAACATTTTCCTGGAGAAGGATGAGATGGAGCATTCTCTGGCTTGGGTTTGGACTGACTCCAGTCAGCATTGGAAAGAAGAGAATAAAAATCCAGCATTGCACATTGATGATCACGCTGAGTCAGACCTAGGTTATAGTAACAGATACAGGCGGGTGAGGCAGGGTGAATGACAATGGAGACCAGTGCTCTGGAGCATACAGTAGTTCTGCAAAGCATTGCCTGGTGTGCCAGCTTCCTACAGCACATCATGGGAGTGCAGCCCCCCTGTTCAGGCTGGGGCTGTGGCTGCCCTGCAGGCTCCACTTGCGCTGTACCCACATCCTACAGGAAAATGTTTCATTTAAAGTATGAAAACAGAAGAAGAGGAACTTCCTTCTCTAAAACAGGTGACAGATGCTTCCAAGATGCAGCCTGAGAAGCAAAAGATGTTTTTCCGTTCCTTTCTGGTAACAAGAAATAAATAATAAAATAAATATTAAGCTGAAATATCCATCAACAGTGGGCCTGGGAAAGGGGCAGTCAGAAGTGGGAGAGGCACTTAATCGAAATGATTGCGATTTAACAACCCAGTGCCAGGATGTGTCTCAAGAGATTCTCAGTCTATTTCTCGTTCTGCCACTTACCTACTGCGTGACCTCCAGCAAAGCCATTAGTCTCTCTTTGACAGGTCCCCTCTTGCTCTTTTCCTGTCTTATATATTAGGCCACAAGCTTTATTTTTCCCCCTCAGGCACTACCTCATAGAATGAACTTGTTTAAACAAGAAGTCCTGATTCTACGTGGGGCTTCTTGTGGTTGCTGCCAGGCGTATGACAAAACTAGGCAGTAACCGGGACCTTGTGGGACAGTGCTTTCAATATATCGATGTTTCACTACCAGCCACAAGCTTGCAGGCTGCATCTCATCCAAAGCTCTCTGCTCACCTCAAACCAAAATGCAGCATCTGTAAAATGGGCTCCAAAACACCCACCTGCCCTGAGGGAGTTCAAGGAAGGCTCAAACCCAAGCTCATCCTACGAAGGGTGCTACAGCAGCTGAAAGTGATGCGCAGGTGGTTGAGAAGGTTCAGCATACGCGTAATCACAGGACACCACGCTGCCACATGCATGCAGCACAGAGGCAGACAAAGGGAAAGAAAAAGGCAGCAGATCCTCTTCTCCATTTCTGCACAGTAACAGGCCAGAACTCTCTACGCCAGCACTAACAGGGAGCAAAATTTGGCCATAGGGGATTCTTAGGCAGGCAGCCTGGAACAAGAGATACATAGGGATTTTACAGAGTATGATATTAGAGAAATACCATGCTCTGGAGAGCGCCCTGAGTGTTTAGACTTCCAGAAAAATAAGGCTGGAGGGGTCTCCTAGGAGGCTCTTCTGCATAAAAGCTTAACTTTCAAATCACACAGTCTACTTTTTTTGGCTTCCACAAAAGCTATTACTGTCTTAACAGCTTGTTTATTAAAATGCATTTACTCTCTACTTTCAGCAAAAGCTTAACTTTGCCACAGTCCTCTTATATTAAACATTCTGCAGAGGCAATCAGGGTTTTGGATGGCTATGCAAAAGTAACCACGACCAAGCAAGCTCTTTCTGTCTTTTACAAATCTCTCCTTCCTACACAAGACAGGGGCATGATGATGGCTTTGAGGAGTTCCTCTTTTGGAGGAGATGCTCCAAAGACACGTTTGGATCCTGCCAAATACCAAAGGAGCAGTATTAAAACATGACTATTAGCTCAGAAATAACCTAGTGCTTCTGATTCAGTCACATTCAGTGGGCGAGCAGGTTGGCCTAAGCCTGTGAATACCCACCCCGTGAGCAGGCCTTACCCGTGCCAGCAGCCCACGGCTCAGCCCTACAGACCTCAGCGAAGAGGAGCTCCTCGTCTTCTGCCCCTGCTGACCTTGGTGCCAGGCCCATCAGCAGGGCTCCCTGAATAACAAACAGCACCTCACAGGTCTTAATGCTGTCACCAGGCTACACTTGGCCCAGCTAACTCTAGCCTTTTCTGGCAACTCAGCAATACTTAAATAATTAATTACTAATAACAGGGGGGGGGTAGAGGGAGGAGGGCTTGTTTTGTTTTGACATCCAATTATCCAAGGATTTGGGAGAGAAATCCAGGAACTACAAGTGAAAACTGAGAAAACTCTGCTAATTGTGGGGCTGTTCCCAAAACTGCTTTTTCTAACCATGTGATCACACTGTACAATGAACGTTTTGGGTGTGCAAAACAGTAGTGACATTGTTATGCCTCCACGAAAGCTGGCTGCTTCCGTTCAGCCACTTGTTTTCATCCTTTTCCACAGAAATATAGATGAGCTACAGATAAGCTGCTCATTAAAGAAAGGGATTTTATTCCTACAGCATTGCTTCCTTTTGTCACTCCTATATTCAAGAAGAGGGAAGATCCAAGGAACTGGTCAGCCTGACCTTGATCCCTGGGAAGGTGATGGAGCAAATAGTCCTGCGAACCACTGCTAAACATATGAAAGACAAGAAGGTGATTGTGAGCAGACATATAGATTTAAGAAGGGGAAATCATGTTTACCCAGCCTGATAGCCTTCTATGATGAGGTGGACTTGTTGGGTGAGGGGAGAGCAACAGATGTTGTTTATGTTGACTTCAGCAAGGCTTTTGACACTCTCTCAAATGTCCTCACGGACAAACAGAGGAAGAACAGACTAACTGGACAGTGGTGTGGCCGAACCACTGCACTCAGAGTCCAGCTTGGGGGCCAGTCACTAGTGGTTTACCCCAGGGGTCAATACTGCTTAATGTCTTTATTAATGAACTGGATGGTGGGGCAGAAGGCACCCTCAGCAAGTTTGCAGCTAATACAAAACTGGGAGGGGTGGCTGATGCACCAGAGGGTTGTGCTGCCATCCAGAGGGACCTGGACAGGCTGGAGAAATGTGCAGGCAGCAAACCCATGAACATCAACAAAGGGAAATGAAAAGTCCTGCACCTGGGAAGGAATAATCCCATGCATCAGAACACTCTGGGGCTGACCAGCTGGAAAGCAGCTTGGCAGAGAAAGACCTGTTGATCCTGGTGGACACCAAGCTCAAGTCCGCAATGCACCCTTGTGGCATGGAGCACCAACAGCATCCTGGGCTGTGTTAGCGGAAGCGTTGCCAGCAGATAGAGGGAGAAGATCCTTCTCTACTCAGCACTGGTGAGACACATCTGGAGTGCCTGGTCCAGTTCTGTGCTCCCCAATACAAGGAAGATATGGACTTACTGGAATGAGTCCAGTGAAGGCCCGTAAGGATGATTTAAGGGACTACGGCATCTGACATACAAAAAGAGGCTGAAAGAGCTGGGACCGTTCAGCCTGGAGAGAAGATTCAGGGGGATCTTATCGATGTGTATAAATTCCTGATGGGAGAGGATAGACAAGGTGCAGCCAGACTCTTCTGAGCAGTAATCATTGAAAGGACAAGAGGCAACAAACACAATTTTAAATACAGAAATTCCATTTAAACATAAGAATGCTTTTTTACTGTGAGAGTGGTGAAACACGGGAACAAGCTCCTTGGAGGTACTCAAGACCCAACTGGAGATGGTCCTAAGCAACCTGCTCTAGCTGACTCTGCTCTGAGCAGAGGGTTGGGGACTAGAAGATCTCCAGAGGTACTTGCCAACCTCAACAATTCTGTGATTCTCCGGTCTTGTAACTTTGCATTCACTCAGTGATTGTAATCAAGAACCTTTCCTCTGTCCTACACTGCTGTCCGAGTGGTGTCCAGCTAACAGCAATAGCAACTTTCCTCTGGGACTTTATGGCATCCCCTGCTCTTCCTTCTTAGAAGGGAGCTTGCAACAACTTTGGGGACAGGGGGAGGTGGCTATTCTATCATTTGGGAAGTAAAGAACGGTTTCATTGGTGTTGGGCAGGTTTTCTCAAACAGGAAAGCTCTGCAGTGTTTCCTGATGATGGTCACGCTCTGAAATGTCCAGTTATTTAACAGCTTCCTTCATCTTCCAGTTCAGTTAACACTAGAATTTTTCTTACCAAAAGCCCTACAGGTCTGCTCTATTCTTTACTTTCTACCCATGTTTTTAATCCCCCCTGTGTTATTATAACAACAGGATCATTCTCCCTATTTGGGATATATTCAATTGAGTAAAAATACAGTATAGTCTAGTGAGTTAGCTTATTTCAGCACAAGACTGCTGCCTTTAAGGAAGAAATGGAAGTGCTTGTCCTCCAAAGGATGGGGAATGTCCACTGACAATTAACTGCTGCTTCTCCCAAACCATAACAGAGCAAAACTATTTGTTTCTTCAAATCCGATCCACAGAATTTTGGACTTTATTTTTTTTCTTAAATAGATCTGTTTTCTTTTCAAAAATTTAAATAAATAAATAAATAAGAAACATGTGAACAAATGTAGGACTTACGTATGATCCATAATTCACTGCTAGAGTCTGCAAAGCCCATGGGAGGCCTAGGCCAATTAAAATATCAAAAACATTGCTTCCGATGGAGTTGGACACAGCCATATCCCCCATACCTGCAGGAATGGAAACCATGTGCAATCAGACATGTCTCAGAAAAGTCTTTTAAACAGAAACACAATAATTTGATCTAATCCAGACTCCTTAAAACCAGTACTATCTTCCAGTCCTTATGACTGTGGAGAAAAGCTGGGAAGTCACCTGAAAGACCTTTATGCCATGTTCTAAACGATTCTATACCACCAATATTTAAATTAAGAAAAACTTTGTGACTTTTGGGGAAAGCTTGAAGTTGACAATAGTGCCAAAACTTGTTCCACACTGTCATTAAGAACCTGTTAGCTGCTTTGCAATAGCAACATAATTTCCTTCTTTGTTCTTGTTTTACATTTCCGTCTCAGGAAAAGGGCTCTGTGTGTTTTCACATTCAAGACACATCTGTGCTACCTAAAGAGGAAGAGGACACAAGGAAGCACTTCCATAGCAGTATGGCATCTCTGTGATGAACCTACCTTGCCTTGCTACGATAAGGCTTGCCATGCAGTCTGGCACACTGGTTCCAGCTGCCAAGAAAGTGATGCCCATGATCACATCTGGAATTCCCAGTGTGTAACCAATGATTGTCACCTAAGGAGAAGAAATAAACTGTCAAGCTGTTTACAAGAATTAAAATCGGAGACCAGCTTGGCCCAATTCTGCAAGATGCTGCGAGACAGAGTTTATCGCTCAGTGCAAACTCACACTTTCTTTAAAGAGAGGCAGTGGCAGACTTTTTTGGTATATTCATCAGCTGGCAGAGGACAGCACTGACCTGCTATGTACCCTCTTTTGTTAGCCACCTCACACCTTTCATCCACAATTTTTCTGACACTAATCTGGAAAAGAAAATATATGGTGGCCCACTAGCCTGTGTAACAGTCTCCTGATCCTGGCTGAAGCTTGCAGACATTATTATATACAAATAATAGCTAAACAGACACTAAAGCAACCCCATGGTTCATTATACTATGTAAATGCCATAAGCAGGGACATATCCCCAAGTGACTGCAAACAATTCCTACTGGCAGAGCGGAGACACCTTTAATTGCCTCTTTCCTTTGCTATGCAGTCTGTGATAAGTTAGTGCTCTTCAAACTGATTAATATTTTTTAATTTTGGATGCCTTTGTCTAATGATACCCATTTCCTATTAGCCACATTTAATTGCTCTTCTGAACTCCCCATAGCATACTCAAGGAAATGTGAACCTTATGCTAGAAGCAGCCCAGTGACCCTGGGGGCTCTGGTATTTCAGCTCTGGAAAGCTGGGATAGCTTTTTTCTTGAAAAACACCTCATCCTCACAGATGAAAAAGCAGAAGAAAACAAGTAACTTTCTATTTCCTGTTCAGGGTAACATGGGTTATTGAAAACAAAACAAACTAAAAACCCCTCTTCTGTAACTGCTTTGATTAGTTCGCAGGGAAAAGCCTGGCATTCATGCTGGCATTTAGTACATGAACTAATTGTGAAGGCAGTCAAGATTTTTTTGCTGCCTCCCCCTTCCCAGCCGGGAAGCAGTGGCCAGTGCTTTAGTGAGGGATCTCCATGGTCTTTGGGTCCCATGCCGAGACAGACCATGAACTGTGCACTCCATCGCAAGGGCAACAGCCCAAACCCAGGCTTCCCTTGTTAGATCCTCTCCTGATGCTAATGCCCCATCACTGCCTGATACTGCTGAAGAGTAGAGACCGCTCCAAAGGAAACACAATCCATGCTGCGGTATTTCTGTAATCCTAATGAGGACAACTTATGCTTTTCACCTACACACACCATGTAACGAGGCCTGCAGCAAGCTAACAGGCTCAATGATCCAGCCAGTGCACAAAATTTCTCCCCTGTGAACAGGCCAACTATGCTTGGATTTCCTTGTGTTCATTTTTATTTACCCCCTTCTACCTTTAGGATAATGAAGTAGAATTAAGCTGCTGTCGGACTAGAGTAGTTGTGCAAGAATTTGGCTGAATATTGTGCTTTTATTCATGCTGGCTTCAAAGTGTTATCATTCTCAACTCTGTCTCTCAAGCTTGCTTCCTCCAAGGAAAAGAAAAGCTATTGTGGCTAGATTCTTACTAGCATCAGGGCCTCTTTACACTGCCCTGCACAACTAGGAGGTGTTAAAGTGGTGCAACTATAATTTTTCCCCATGTTAAAGAATCTGGGTGAAATTCCAGCCCTGAACCAATTTCAAAGGCCATGGCTACTGGCCCCTAATTTTCTTCTCTCAGTGTGAACAAGTCTAATAGAAATGGAAGCAGACTTAAGGCTTCTCATTTAAAAATTCAGGTATGTCAAACTTTCTACACACTCCTCTAAGCTGACAAAACCCGCTTCTGTTGCCTCTCCCAGGTTGTGGTTTCTGCTTTAGTTAGTACATACCATCCACACCATCATGTAGGAGAAAGCTGCAATCCAGAGGGTAGAAGAAGCAAAGGTAACCATGAACCATTTTTCCAAGTGGGGTTTGTTACAGTTGGGCACTGTGAAGTACAGGACAAAACTCAATGGCCATGTAAAGAGCCACTTCAAGATTTCTATCTTGCCAGCTGTAAAACAAAAAAGGGAAACAATCACAATTCTAGTCTGCTTTAGTCCAGAATGTTATTATTTTGTTAATATTAACAAGCCAGATGCCAGGGACACTGCAGCCTCACTGCTGTTCAAACAGATGATGACAAGACATGCCTTGTTCAGAAGATCATGGTGTGATGGCAGAGATGGGAGGGCAGGGAGGGGCACAGGGAAGGAGTATGAAGTGCTTCCCCGAGAGTTTGTTAAGTAATGGGTCAGGGCACAATCTCCTGCTACCCTCCCTGGGTCTGATTCTTACAGGTACCACATAAAAAGAAAGTTCTAGAAAGAGATCTGATCCATCTCCAACCACCTAATGGGATGGTACAGAAAAGATGGAGCCAGGCCCTTCACAGAAATGCACAAGGAAATTGTAAGAGCCAATGGAATCAACTTGCAGCAAGGGAAATTCAGAATAGATGCTACCATAAGTTGTGCATTTTCGTTTTTTTCCCACCACGAGGGTAGTCAAACACTGGAACAGGTATGCAAAAAACCTGTGGGATCTCCATCCTTACAGATAATCAAAACTCAACTGGACACAGCCTTGGGCAGGAGGGATTTGAACCAGAGATCTCCAGAGGTCTATGCCAACTTTTCCCATATTATGAATCTAGTGTCATGGTCCATAGGACATCTAAATTATTCTCTTCGGGCTCATTTTTTTTCCCCTTACTTGAACTACAGCTATTCTGTTTGAGTGAGATCTGAACAGGAGTTCCCAAAAATGTATCACACCTGTAAAGGGCAGGACCATTCCCCACAGTATTCTGGCTTGTCTGCAACACAGCAGATCTTGCCAGCTGTGGCAAGTGTGAGTCAAAGGTAGGGCAGGGGTACATTATAATCATCCCGGGACTAGAGCCCTGATGGGGTAAGAGGGACTTGGCAAAAAGGAGATCTCCATCCTGCAGGTGCAGTGGTCAGCAACCCGAGGCACACATGCTTTTTCACAAGTCACATAGCTGTTCTGGCTTTCTAAGCCCTCCAGAAAGAGCAAGAAGACACTGTGGCTGTGCCTAGTTAACAGCAGGAAGCAGAGGTGCCCAGGACCTTCTTTTGTCACCGCTCCACATGAGCACCACCACTGCCTTGTTTCCACTAGCGCTACACCCGACCACTGAGGCAAGAGCACACCTCATTTCCCAGCAAAGGTAAGGCCTAGATGCAGATGCATCTGACCTGCATTCAGGCACCTTGCCAGCAGCCCCACCATCCTCAGCTTCCTCCGCAGTCAGCAGAGAGGGCCTCTCCAGAGGGTGACCAAGGTTTTGGGGGTAGGAAACACACCATGGAGATTGCTGCCTCTCCCCTCTGACTGCAGCAGCAGCACTGAGCCAACGCACGAGCTGCAGCAGAAGTGCGTCCAAGCCCAGGAGTCTGCATCCTGAGAAGTTTCTGCTGCTTCCCAGTTCCTCTCATCTTTTACCTGTGACCAGGAACTACACTGGGAGATGCATGCTGATGGGAGCTCTCGGAGACGTTTCTACCTCAACATGTCTCTGCAATGCTTTCTGGCATACCCAAACTGAGTTTTGCTTTCTGGAACAACACAAACCCAGAAGCTTCTTACTGGGTAGGTCAAAAGGTGTGTATGGCCCTTCATGGTCATCATCATCATCATCCTCCTCCTCCTCTTCATCGTTTTCGTTGTTCTCATTATCCTCATTCTCGTTATCTGTCTCGTTCCCAGCCTCAGCCATGTCTTCATCCCGCCGTGTGCCATTCACGCCCCGCTCAGCAGAGTTGCTGGGGCCTGTCCCATTCTCAACCACGTGTTTGATCGGTATTTTGATTGCTACTTCTGACTCACCATTGGTGTAAGTCCTGCTATTGATCAGCCTTTGTCTCTGTAAATAAAGGCACAAATTCTTGCTGAAAGACAGATGTTTTTAATTTGATTTTTTAAAGAGAAAGGGAGGAACAGAGAAAGAGAGATGTGCAGAGTTCTTTAAAAATTTGGCTTTAAAAGCAAAAGGGATGAATTTTGATCAGGTATAACACAGTGCTTGCTTGCAGGTGACTAGATAAATCTCACCGATACAACTTTTATACGAGAAGGACCAGTGGCTGTAGAATTGACTGCAGGAGTATTCCAAGACCAGGGCAAGTATTCCATGAGTAGGGTACTCAGTGGAGTACCATATTATTAAGTAAGTGCAAGTAATATTAATGTCAGACCAATGCAGGAGGCACCTCCTGCGAGCAACAGCTACAGGCAACATAACCACATAATGCCTTGAAGGTTTCTCTGCTAAAATCTCCATGAGGACAGACAGCAAGGGATGGATTAGTAGAGTCAGTGTCAGAAGGATAAAATCTGGGGAAATACTATCAGGGATCCAGAAAAACCGAAACACTTCCATTTCGACCCAAACACTGCTACTGGAAAAGGCAAATTCAGAAGCAGAAGGGGCAGCAGGGGGAGAGAAAAGACATACCTCATTGATTAACATTCGGCTGGCCATAGAGAGACGTGTTTTGGGAGGGAAGTGGCTGGTTATCATGATCCGGAGCCCAGCCTCAGAAAATGAAAGCTGGTGTGGGTAGGCAGACAGCAGCTCATCCACCATGATCACAGAGGCTTTACGGTGGAAATTTCCTGCAGTGAAGGAACAGAGAAATTGAGGTCGTCTTCCAGCAGTCTCTCTCTCTGCCCTACGTGGCTCTCAGAAGGATAAACCCACAGGTTCCTTTTGTAAGAACCATTCCTTCAGCTATTGCCATTCAAAATATGCCTCCTCTGTCCTTAATTTCTATCTTCACATGTCCTCCATTTCTGTCTTTAAATATATCACCAAGATGGTGTCTCCACTCATGCTCATTACAGAGAATTAAATCTGCTCTGCGCAGTTCATCACGGGCCTGCGTTAAGCAGATCACTGCTTCCACAGCAGCTATTCCACCGAGGTAGAAATGGTGCTGCAGTAAAGCTGCATTAATTCCACTGTTGTAATCTGCACTTCTGTGAGGATATTGGCCTCACCCACCATTAAATGTACATAAGGGTGAGCAAATTGTCACTGTGTTCCTGCAGGGTACCAATGCAAATGAAAAGCAGGTTCCTGCATCCTGGGCAAGCAGCTCATGGCTGGGAAGTGCCATCAAACCTGGCAGCAAGCGCAGACGCCGCTCCATGGGGTGTGACCCGCAGTGCGGGAGCAAAGGAACAAGGAGACAGGGGCAGGTACCTGAATCGTGCTCCAGCTGGGGCACAGTGCCAGTGCCCACTACCTCTGGGGTGGCGCGGTGCCAGTGCCCACCCTTTCTGTGCCTGGATGCTACCTTGGGGTGTAAATTCTGGGCCAGGACTGGGACTTGGCAGCAGGAAAACCTGAGGCCTTCCCCGACACATCTCTGCTTTGGTTTATTAAAACCAGTGCTGAACACTGACAAATGTTGCATGCCATTATTATTTATTACCATCACTGCTAGTCTTACAGAAGAGTATCTCCTTGGCTTTAGTGTCACTTTTTTTTCTGACTGAGAAGGTTTCCATGGATTGGGGTAGATAAGTGGGGTCATCTATATTAAAAAAAAAAAAATAAAAAAAATCGAACCAGCCAGCCAGCTTTTTATTGTTACTTTTTCCATGTTGGCATTTCCTGCACGGCACTTGGGGGAACTGCCCCAAACACACAAACACTTCTGTTTGATTCTTTTTGGCCCCCTGTTGAGAAAAAGCCTCAGAAAACATGTGCTAGTGTCTGAAACCCTCAGGCAACCTGTTGCAATGGTGCTGTTTGTGCCCCATGCTACTGGCTGGTGTGCAGAGCAGTGCCACACGCCTGTCTGCGCCTCTGGTGGCCCACTGCCAAGTAAATACAGGAACAATCTGCAAGAAAATGAGGCAATCCTTTCATCTTCCTTCCTCAGCCAGTTTGAGTAACTGCAAGCGTCCAAAACAAAAAATTACCAGCAGCTGAGCAGTCTTGGGAGATTTAAACCAAATCCCACAGTCAGAACTGCCTCATTTGTGCGTAACTGAGTAAACCTAGATGACTAAGGCCTGAGTTTACACATACTAAGTTTTACCAGTCTAGCTTCACTGGTACAGAGTGCAGTCATCTTGCCAGCACAATTTTGCTATTGAGAGCCCCAGGCTACAGAGAGCTGTTCCCACAAAAGCAGCTTCCCCAAAACAGAGTGCACAGCACTCACGAAAGCCTTCCCTCAGCAACAGGGGCAGTGACATGATAGCTGGCTTCTGGTAGACTGGAAGGGTTTGATGTCAGCAAATAAACCCCTCTACATTACATGTGTAGTTGCTTACTGGATGCAGACTGCCTTTCAATCACTGTTTCCAGGAAAGGAGACCTATTTTTGTTACTTTTTTTTCAGTCCAGGGAAACAAAAAGGGCAGCCCACCTGTAGTCAGAGACCAGGACTGCTTCAGACAAGATAGAGCTCCTTCTCAGGTTAAACCAGTGACTGGAGGGGGGCGGGGGGGAAGTTATTCCTGAGGATAAATACATATAAATCCCAAGCAGTTATGCACATGCTTGTTGACTGTTGCAGAGATTAAAAAAATTATCCTCTGTAAATACAGTTTAGCACATGCTTGCAGACACACACATTGAGCTACTGCTGAGCTATGGAGCAGGGGGATTTTTTTTAAGCTGAAGAAATATGATCATTTTTATATGTGATCATGACTAAAGTCAAATGGGAGCAGATTTCAGCCAAAGTGAAATCCACTTAGAGATTATTTACATGGAAAAGTTGTACACATTCAAGAGAGCATGTGCAGTAAGACCACACTACCTAGAGCAATAGAGAGTCCTCACTCTCCCTTCACTGGGGTGGAAAGTGTACAACTATATGTAGGGCCTTTTTCCCTGCTCAGTTTATGTTGCTTTGGAATGGACTTAAATTTATCAGGAGGTACTAGATGTAAATGGGCATCTTCAGTGCAGAATAGCAGCACTCACAGGAGGACTTACAATGGTGTGGCTGTATCCTTCTAAATAAGTAGCCCCTGGGCAAGTCAGGCTTGAAGCTGGAGGAGTCCTTTCAGTCAGGCACTTGTCCAGCAGCAAGAGCTACCCAGAGGAGGCCTGAGCTGCCTCCAGCGGCGAAGGATGCGGTGGCTGGGGTCACCCAGGCACAGGAGCCATGGCCATCTGGCAGGGGTTCACAAAAGGGCCACCTCCCCACCTATTTCATGGCTGGTAAGACAAAAGCAGTCCACACTGCATGACCAGTGGACAAACCTGTAAACATTCAGAATGATGCAAGCAAGCAGGGTGACTTACTGGAACAGTTACCTTTCTTTAGTAATACCACTGTGGCATCACAGTTGCTGTTATCATCCATTTCCGTGTTATTTGCTAAACCGTTCACCATGTTTGCAGAGTTTTTTGTCTTCCTTTCGAAGCAGTGATGTATGGTTGAGTTGTACCTGCACAAATGAAACAGATATAGATATACCTTTGCTTCTTCCACGTGGATTTCTCGACACTTTTCCTTTCCTAGACTCACATCCTGTGTGATCCAACTAAGGCGGGGGAAGAAAACCCCTCTGGTTTTAAGGAAATGTAGCCACGGCATGCCAGAGCTCTAACTGGTATCACTTTGTAACTGCCATAGCTCTAACATACAATGCAATCTCTCCGTACCCAGAAGGCTACGAAAGATGCAAGACATGAATCTTAAATGACATGTATGCTTATGTACTATGTGTAATTAAAATTCTGTACAGCAAATAACGATTACTTGTTATCATCAAAAATTATTTTTTATCACATAATCACACTTGAGCATGAGTGTTATTTTACCTCTGAAGACCTAGCACAGAAACACAACACCATATGCTAAGTTCTGTCTCAACATTTTTGGGGGAAAAAAAAAAATCTTTGTTTCTTATTTTATTTAGAGTAGTCAGGAGTTGTCACAAACATGAGCTGAGGATCTCACCACGACACTCAAAGGCAAGGGTAGCCCACTGTGAACACCTGGCCAAGGTCCCTAACTAGGCCGACAACCTCCCCAGCTAGATCCAAACAGGTCTGAAACATCTGTTCACACTACAGCATTGCTTTCAGAAGAAAAATCCATTCCAGATTGAAATATTACAACTGTCAGTTCTGCCAGTCAGTTCATCATTGCAAGGGTGAAGCTACCCTCCATGTTAAAGACAAAGTTTCTAATTATTAGCAGTGAGATGAATTCTGACCTGTGTTCCCTTCAACCCAGCCCGAGTGTTTTGCTGTTCTCACTGAGAATTGCTCTCACAATATTTACTCTAGTCATAATTTCAAAACAAATCTCTACTCTTACTTGTTGAGACAAGACCACTGGTGTGCTTGGCAGCTGGTAGGTTTTGTTGAATGTTCTAGTTTAAATCTGGGTTTCCTTTCCACTGCCTTTTGAAAACAAGGCAGGAGGAGGGGAACCAAACAGCAGAACAGACTAGCTTTGCTAGCATGAACTTGCGTGAAAGAAGTTACACAGACGCTCAGAAAATCGATGTTGATTGTGCTGTAGTTTTGTCATGGGTCTCCAAGCAAGTAAGAACAAATTTCTGTGGAGCTTAGCACCCATAAAAAGTAGACTGGAATCTCCCGCGTGTCTATTTCTGAGTAGGGGTGCTAAGGCAAAGTCAGAAGAGGCTGCTTTGGTGGGACTCAGAGATGGATTCGGTTCCCTGCTCTGCCACAAAGTTACTGCATTAGCCTTGGTCGGGTCACACAGGGTGATATCCATAAAGTATCATCCACCTTTTGATGTCTGATCCTCAGATCTGTACTATGGAGACAAGCAGCCCCTTCCTGCCTCATCAGGATAAATGACAGGGCAAGGTGCTTTAACCCCTGCTGTTGGAAGTGCTGCTGGCAGGCAACCTGCGTGATGCAATGGAAGCCCTGCCCACAGCCTGTGGCTCTCTCTAATTACCTTTGCAACCTCTGGAAAAGCACCGGAGCAGGGAGCCTTACGACCTAAACAAGCCGAGGGCACATTTGACTTACTTCATGATAACGATGTAGATGACATACATCAGCACTAAGACTAAGGACTCCCACCTGAAACAAGAGTGACACAGAAAACACATCAGAGCAGGGCACAGCAGTTGGCTGCCCAAGTTCAGCCGTTCCCCCATCTGTCACGCTACAAACTTGAGGAAAGGCTTGACCCTCTTGGGCCATCTTAACATACCTCTTGGAAAGGGAATGCATAAAGACACGGCTCACACACCCAGGTGCAATGCCTCCTTTGTTTTCCTGACTTCTGGTTTTACTTGGCCAAATCAACCCATCAACTAATAACGAGTGACTAAACCCCGAAGTTCAGTGAACAAATCCAAGGAACACCGACACTTCTGTAAGGACAATACCTGTGGGGGCTGTGGCAGAGGGAGGGGAGCAGTCACCCTGCTCCGCATGAATGGGTGTAAAGCAGGTCGTTGGGCTTTTTGAGCCTTCTGAAGCAGGCCAGTCAGCCTGAACAAGGGGCAGCTGCTCTTTCACTACAGACAATGCAGCAGGCAGCCGTTCAAACTGCTCATTAGATGCTGTCAGGTTTTTTGTCCATTGTCTCTGTGTCAAACTAATGAAATTTGTATGAAAACACAATATAATATGACTTTTAGAACTTATTTCCAGGTAATCTCTTTCATTGACCAAAATGCTGTACCCTGCATAGTTCCCTATGGCAAACTGCTAGTACTTGTGGAAATCATCCATTATCAGAATGATATATACTAAAACTCATGGGCCGTCTTCTCTTTAAGGATTCTGAGACGCTGCACTAACGGTATCAATACCTCATTCCCTGCTTCTGGCAGTTCAACACTCGGCTTCCGCATTCATGTGTTTTAGCTGAAGGGTACAGTCAAATACAATTGGGCCTCGAGTCAATTTTAGTTAAAAAAACAAAACAAAACAAAGGAAAACAAGCCATTGCAAAACTCAGTGTTTCAGAAATCCTTCTCTGAAATTAAACATAAATCCCCCAGTGAGAACAAGTTTAAGAAAACATGCAACCCAAAAAGCCTGACTCCCCCTAGTGCTTGTAATCTAAATAATAATGGCTGTGAGTGAAATCAAAGCTACCACTGTTACTCTACAAGCCCTGAAAGGTGCTGCAAAAAAACCATGAAAGCAAAACAACCGAAAGTACACTTTTTAAGTGTTTGAGGTCCTCCTAGCCTGCCATACCTACTGCAGTACATTTCAGCACATTCATGGGGATAATAACATATGTAAGTTTTTTATTTCTTTAAACCCGTCATTCACTCTTTAATGCTGCCTTAGGAGCTTTTGTTTTTTAAATTATTAAAAATGCAAATATTGGAATACACATTTATGATTGCTTGGGTGGCGCTTTCCATTCCCAGGTGGCTGACATCCCTGGCATGCTGGCACCCAAGCAGCCGTCTCTGCCCCTGCTGAGCGCGTCGCCATCCCCAGGCTGCTGCAGGGTGGGCAGAGGGCACCGACTGCCACCACTGTATTGGGAGGCAGGCTGATTGACGCTCTCCTAGGCTTTCCTCTCTGGCTCAGAAAATGAGTTATTCTAGCCCATCTTGCACTGAGGTTTCTCACGCAGCAGGAAACTGCTGCCTGAATGGCCCTGCAGAACTTTTTAGCTTTCCCCTCCTCTCCTGAACCCTTTTGTGGTATAACCAGAAAAAATGAAAAGGGATTCACTTACCAGGAAACCTTTTCGTCATAAATAAACTGTGGAGAAAAGGTTTAAAAATAGGCATGTTATACACGAAATCACAGCTGAAAACAGCTCATCACCTGAGCAGGGGACAGAGTAGGCAGACAACCCAGGGTTCAGGGCAACGGGATTAAGCTCTGGTATGCTTTGGCACTGCCCTCCTGTCCAGCCCTTGAATTCTTCAACCCTGAGTTCCTCTCACCTAGTAAAGGCAGGTAGGTACTCCTTCCCAAACACCACGGGAACCTTGGGTAACTGGGGCTGTGGCAGCAGCGAAGCATAAGCAGTTACAGGGAAAATAGAAGTAAGTCAGAGAAGGGGCTGTACCTGCCTCTGAACCGCATGGCTGGTCTCACCGGAGACACGGCCTCTTCCCCGGACCCGTTCTTGGGTGGCAACCGGGCAATCGCTATGCAGATTTGCAGCCAGCGCCACGGGTGCCGTGATATTTTGCCGGCTAAAAACTGGGCAAAGGCATTGTTCCTTAAGATCTACATGATCACCATGCTAGTGGACTTTAACTACCGTGACAGTGATTTTAGCGCACCTGCAGACTGATGCTGAAGCTTCCCTAGCAACGCTGCGCGAGCCTCTTTGGGAAAGAAGCGGGTCTCTCCCTGCCTGCGTAAGATGCTCGGCGTTGGGGCAGAAGCAAGGCTGTGCCAGAGAGGTGAGGGGTGTTTGCCCGGTTCCAGGAGGGTCTGAAGCCCGCGTTGGGAGGTGACCGGCAGGTGGCTGCAGTGCTCCACAGCTGGGCCCTTCCTCAGGCCACCACCGCCACCAGCCACGCTGGGAGCCACCAGGGCTGCCGTCCTCCCTTGATGGGAACACTCCCGCACCTCGGCTACTCCTTACACCCAGATGGACATC